TAATAACATTATTTTTTAAACAATATGATCCATTTATGCCATTTGAAAATCTTTCATCGGGATTATTATTTAATAGTTGGATAGAAATAATTGTAAATATTTCTTTTATTAGATGTTTTAAAAACAAAAAAAAATTTTCTGTATGTTTTCTTTTTAGTCTGATGCATATCGACGTGCAACTGCTACAACTAATGTATCTACACAAGCAATAACATCGTCAACTGGTCTTTCACCATTAAGCACTACATCAGCATTAATGAGTACGAAAAAAGATGGTATTAGTACTGATGGACAAATTAAAGGATTTGATGGAAAAAAGCGGGATTAATAATTTTTCTTTTAAATTTATATCCGATTTGTTTACAATGCAACAAACAATGTATCTCGTCCTTTTTTTAGATTTTAGCTCTTTTAACCTTTTAATTCTTATAATCTCAATGCAGCATATTTGAACATCATTAAAATAAATAAATAAAGAACAATATGATTATGGCAATGTATGTTCAACATAGCATAAAAATGTTTCTTATTTTTGTATACATTCCGATGAAAGCTTTAAATTTTTACGAATTTATATATAGAGCCTTCTAGTATATTTCTATATAAATAGATAATTGTAGACTTACATTAACAACCATAGAAGTATACGAATGATAGAGCAAAGAAACTGTAACAATAGAAATATTCTTTGATGAGCGTAGAAGAAAATACGCCGTGAAAGAAAAAGTGGGTCAAAGTCAGTAGCAAAATTTAGAAATACACCCGTTCCTATAACATGGCGTCAAATAGTACATTTTTTTCTTTGTCTAGAATGTAGCACCTTTGAATTGTTTATTTAAACTACGATCAGTTTTTTTTCTCTATCCAGAGCTGTAAGCGCAATTTATGAAATACAAAACAAATATTTGACCATTGGTTGGAAATTCGCAAGTTTTAGTTTTTTTTCGACAGTTCCAATAAATCTTCAAGATCTGTATTTTTTCTTAAAACAAAAACTAATAATAGCTTCGAATGGAGCGTTCAAAACTGATCAAAACTGCCATGACGAAGTTTCAGGAGAGGACATGTCCAGTACTGAAAATTACTGAGCTCCCTACAATTCTTCGTACCAGTTGCGATCCGTTTTGAACGCTCTTTTCGAATCTTCTCTTAGATTTTGTCTAATGGGAAATGTAGGTTCTACAACTTTGTTACAAATGATAAAAAAAAACCAAGAAATACGAATTTTCGACCAATTCTGAAGCTTTTGTTTTGCAGTTCATGAATTTTGACTACAACTTTAGAGCAAGAAAAAGACTATTCATGGATGATATAAACAATCCAGTTAAAGTACATTCTTAATAAGGAAAAAGAAGCATGTCATCTTTGACATCATATCTCAAGCATTGGTGCATCCGTTGCGTAACCAAGTGGATGCTAACGGGAGCTCAGCTCTCTTCCTCGTTTCATAGGAATGATTGAGTTCTATTTATCAGAAAAGTTCTCCAATTGATAAATCACTTTTGAGTCGAGACTATGTATATTATGTATACCTAAATGAGCTATGAATATCATGAAACGAGCTCGTGCTCTTAGTTTATTGTTGCGTGGATACTACATTTTCACTGTATTTTTTAAATGAATGACGTAATTCTTCATCAGGAACATAAAGAAAACTGATTTTTGAATTTTGACTTGAAATTTTATACAGAGACAGAGCTTAGCTAAAGTAATTTATTGTGAAAGTTTGTTTCTATCATAAAATAGGAATATCAAATCTGCTGATGTATATGAGTAATTTAAAAGACAAGCTTTTTCCATAGCTGTATCTTAGAAAAAGAACAATGAAAAAGTTTGAAATTTTTACAAAGAACTATTCCAGCGAAGACCTGCTTTTGTGTTAAGTTTCAAGTCGAAATTCTACAATCAGTGTTTCTGATCATCCTGAGAGGAATCTTGGCACCTATTAAAAACATACAATCAGCCATTGGACTTATTGTGATTATCAATGAAAGTACATCGATTTTGAACTAAATTTTAAAATACAGAACAAAATTATGATGATGACATTTGTTAAAGAAGATAATAATAATATGTAATCAAAGAGAATTTATTTTAAGCTTTGCCAGAACATTCAAAGAATATTATTTTCCAGGGCATTATCATAAGAATTCTTGCTTTACTGGGCTTTCATGAAATTAACTAAAATGCTGAAAATATAGTTTTCCTGTTTCTGTCAGGTCGACTTTTACTGATACTAAAATAGCACAAAGAATCAATTCTGTTTTCTTCAACGTTGAAAAGTCTATTAAAACATCAATTTGCAGACAGTTACATCGTTACAAATCTTGTTCTTATCGAAAAGTATTTTTTATAGTTCGTCTTTGTTTTATATTGCTAAAACACTTTTAAAACCTTGAGTTTATTCACAAAATAAAGTTAAAATAATTATTTTTGCTTAAGAACATTTTCCGTTCCTTTCCTCATTACAATTTATTTCACAATTATCACAGTTCATTTATGCTAAAATTTTCTAAGATGAAAAATCTTAATGAGACATTTTTTTGGTAAACACTTTAGCCGGATATGTCGAACTACATTAGAGATTCCGACTAATGGATAGTTTATTGATGATCGTCCTGAAAAGTTCCTAAGATTCTATCACGACAAGAGCTACAGAACTGGTAATGATTTCAAACGTAATATCAATATCTTTGCATATATTTTTTTTTCTGAGCAGAATTTTTTGAAATTTTTATGCTATGATAATACAAATAGAAAAATTTCAAAAGATTAGTCTTGTAGATCAAATTAGTAGAAATGAAATCTTGTCCATGAGATCTATTCAAAACGTACTGTTTTTCAAAAAACAAAACAAAAATATCGACGGGAGGAAAGTTCAGTGTATTATTCTATGGCCAAAAACTAATTTTTAATTCTATTTCCGACTGATGAATTGCTTTTAAGTCGAAGCTATGTGCATCCTAATGAGTAATAAGTACCTTGAAAAGAGTTTATTCACAGTTGCGTATTGTATTGCTCACATTTGAATTGATAACGATTTAATATTTAAAATTAAATTGAAGTTATTGTTAATCTTTTCCATATATGAATCAGAGTTTCAGGCAGAACAAGAAGAGACTAGTCTTCGATTTGGATATGCAGTTGAAAGTTTTTTCTCAATTAAATCCTAGCAGAGTTGAAAGACAATTGAGTGTTGTACAGTTCTGGACAAAAACTGTTCTCCTCCCTCAGATTTCAGTTAACATAATAGCAAGGAGTTTGAAAATTTCTGCGTGCATACTTTGTTAGAGATGTAGACTAGCGACGCCATATAGATCTTGTCTACTATAAGATTTATAACCTTAAATAAACTGTCTATTAAAGTTCATCTATTTTCTTATCAAATACAAGATTAATTTTGAATATTTTCACAAGGGATTTGAACCCAATACATAATCTTTATTAATTCAAAAGAAAAGTTTGTTTGCTCGAAAATTAGTATTTCTTAATTCTCGACAGTACCAAGATGAGTATCGCTGTAATGTAACATCTTATTCTGAGATTTACACAAAACAATGTCAAGATATGGACAGTATTTCTATAAAAGTTTCAAATGAATTTATTGAGCTATCACTGACTTAGGAGTCTTGAAAGTGACAATCGATGGTTTTTTGCACGATGATGATTGGAGAGTAAAACAATCACAATTCTAAGAGTTTGACGAATCTTTATGAAATTTATATGCTACATAGCTGAAACATAAAACTATATGATGATCGGCTAGTCGCCCAACAATACCTTTACTCTCCAGAGTTATGAAGCTCAACAGTAAAAGTGGACAATATATATCATAATTCAGTATCTGCCCAATCAAGCTGGTTGTGATTAATTCCATTGACCTATATTCATGATGGAATATAGACACACAAATTTTTAGAGCTCTATTCCTTATGGTAACTGAGAGCCTACAGAGGAAAGATTGTTGTGCAAGGGTGTACTTGAACATTAATCTGAGTATACTATGCGGGTGCTAGATCAATTCGTCGCACGTCTATTCGTCGCAACCAATTAG